GATTACTACAAAACAGAGTTCGTAGTATGGTATTTCTATAGAAAACAATGCACTATGCACACTATAACAAAACACGTGTTATTTATTTTTAAACCTATTAAAATTACTTTTACATTTACATTACATACATTTACGTAATTAAATTTAGATTTAAAACTAATATATAAATATACATATTATTATAATATATAGGAATTTACACTATTTGTGTCGCTAGTCCAACCAAAAAGTGGAAAATTTCGGTACAAAATCGCCTAAACAATTTTTACAAAATATTGAAAGAATTATTTATATATAATTGGAAGATTTGCTGTCATTTTCTTCATTAGCTCCTGCAATGCTGGGGTGGCCAATCAGTATTCATTAATTATCAATAGGGACTACAGTAGTGGAATAGGGTGGGTTATCCTTCTGTATTTCTCCGGATACGATTTGGTGTAATTGATTGTCATACATATTCTGATCAGATATTTCCATTTTCTTTAATAAGCTCCTTATTAAAAATATTAAATACGTATGAAGCACTGGAACAAATAATAAGTGAAATAAAATTAAATATAATCTTTAGATGTGGTAATCAAGGGACTGTCAATTGTCCATTCTTTTATTTGTGTTGTCGGTGTTTCCATTACAGTTAGAAATATAAATTGACAGACAAAGGTATTTTTGTGCTGCTTCGCAGTAAAGTCTTTTTAGTCCAGGTCGAAATAGTAAGCCACTACGCAAACACACTCTTCTAATAAGTACTACTCAATAGATAGGAAACTACTTATAAGAAGATAGATAATAAAAGTGAGTTTTAAAAATGGTATAGCGGAAAAAGATGCGTTCTTAGTAATAAAGACAAGTGACCAGATGTTTGACAAGCTAGGTGGTCTAGTGGTGTAGCACATTGCTTTATAGCCGATAGTTGTAGGTGCAACTCCTCACACGCTACAAACATTTGTATTGTTATGAGTATACTACGTGTATATTTACAATAAAATGTATTTAAGTATTCTATCAGTTATCTACTACCCATAAAACAAACTCTGACCTGATGGCGATGCGTGAATTGTCCTGGGTTATTATTATTGCTAGCATAGTACTACCTGAGATGGCTCTCCATGTGGATTCAATAGAAATCGTCGTGCTTAATTCCTCGTGTGAAGTGTAAAATGGTCTGACTACATCTTAATCAATAGAGTAAACGGTGAACAACATTATTATTAAAAAACTTACTCATATAACATATGAAGAGAAAAACTGAATGTATAATAATTATAAAATGTCTCATTAATGACATCTGAACGATTTGCTGCACACACATCAGGACGGCCATTCCCAATATAAAATAGAAGTAAATTTTGATTAATTTAATCTTATTCTGAAAAAAAATTGTAAATAATTAAAGATAGGTATTAATATATAATTAAACACCACAGGTTTGTTTTCCCATTACTGCCAATTAAACACTTTCTATTTATTTACCCAATGTATATCTGGTAGAGATAGAGCCAGCTTGCAGATCTATTCATCTCCATGGAACATCAAATAAGTGCTTGCTTATATCTTGCATATAATTTGGGCGCTTGTATGGATATTGATGCTATATTTTTAAAGTGGTAAAATTGATTATAATGATAGAGTCACGATATACAAGTGCATGGATGCTCTGTATGAATGCGTTGATAGGATTTAAAGTAAAGAAATGCAAGTACGTAAAAAATAGTTTATGTACTTGCATTCCTCTATTCATAATACTTCTCTCGAGAGAAAAAACCGTTTTAAAATCACTTAGTCCTCAGAAATAACAATACATGAGTGCCAACTTCAACAGCACTACAGACATCATGTGTCAGAACAAATGATATCTGTGGTGCTGATAAAATATTATATATAGACGATGGTTGGACTTTGTAAAGTATATAAACCATTTACTAGTAGAAATTATGTATATGTTTATGTATTCCATGGAAAGCATAGAGTCTTTCAAGCTTGTTTAAGGTAATATTAGAGATATTGATAAGGAAAATTTTTATTACAAGAAATATTAAAAAAGTAATAATAATATATATATATTTCTTTTTATTTGAATAAATGATTTTCTATTCTATTCTACTAAACATTCTCTATATATTATCTACATACCTTGTGGGCTCCGACAATTAGTACAACAGTAACTAATATCTCTATACAATTCAGCACTATGGATATTATAAATTCTGTTTCTATATCAAGACCGCTGAAATCATAGATTTCCTGTTCCAAAGATATATATCTAAAATATTGAAAAGTATTGCCAACACGTTTGAAAACTGAAAATAAAATAAAATATAAATATAGTATTGCTTAAATAAAAGCATACAAAATATACCTACATATTATAAAATGCAGTACACCGCCGCGTCTATCTGTATGTTTGCAATAATCTCAAAAATTACTGAGCGGATTTTCATAAAGTTTTCATCCATCAACGCAGTGGATACTGTGAAAGGTTTAGGGGCATAATTCATTAAGTTTATGTGTAAATTAATTTAAATATTCGGCAGTAGTAGATACCGGGTCAATACAAGGTTTATGAAATGGTTTATCGCAACTGGTTATTAAATACAAAAAAATCTAGATGTGAATGGAAATTAGAAATTCAAAGAATCTAATAACTCGTTAAGAAAGATTTAGTACTTAAAGTACTTAAAATAGGTAGGTACTACTCGTGTAAAGCCGCTGACCGCAGCCAGTTAATTGTACACGTATGAATGATGATGCGGTTTTCAATACCCAAATATACTATTCTTTATGTTAAGCATGTATGCAATGTTGTTGAACTGTAGAAACAGTACTGTCTGATTTCGTTCGTTTTAATAAAAATGTATTATTAACACAGAAATAATAGGTAACTATATTTTTAAATATACTTAAAGCATAGAAAACGTAGAATAATTAAATTAAAGTTAAATAACTTACAACAATAAAATACCCAAGAAAAAGAACCCCTTTCCTGAGAGGTAAACAGAAACAGCATCTTTTTAATACTGGCCAATCACAATACATCTTTAAATTATTATAAAAACAAAAAAATGTTATCCTTAATGCTATTATTGAATTAAAAAAACAAACTAGACATTATATTTAAAAAAAGCACAATGTATCAAACTCGCTACTCCATTTCACTGACAGTGATCCACACTAGTCGGCGTGTATTTAACTTTTGAATATCAAGATTCAAGTTGAGCTGGGTAAAATATTTATATCAGTTTCAATATATGCACACAACATGACTAATTTATCAATATGCTACCGCTCACAACGTAGGGAGTTAGGATAAATATATAATATTATGTTATCTGTGACATAAATAACAAATGATCAAATAATCATGATCATAATTACTTCAAAAACAGAAGGGTTTGTTTTAGGTACATTATATAATAAAAAAATAACACCGTTCATGCAAAAAAATATACATAAATACCTATAGCACGATGTACTTTTAGCCAGCACCATTTATCGACGTTTTTGAGAAACATTAATTTATTTAGGTTGAACAGTATATATGTTTCGATTATACCTTTTAATAACGTATATTGTTGTGTTCTGGTAAACTAAAATGAAATACTTAACGCTAAATGATAGGTACATAAAGTTGCATATAGTCGCGGGTTCATACCCTCGCAGAGTTCAAACGTTTGATTGAGTAGGTATGTTATGTTTTGGAGTTTTATTTGTATTGGTCGAGTGTTTTGTATGTACACTATATATGTATTTACAGAAAAAAGGGAAATACATGTGTATATCAGTTGTCTAGTAGGTACCCATAGCACAAACTCTGCTTAGCTTTGAACTAGATGGTCTCTGAGTGAATTGTCCATGATTATTTTATATTATTATTGGGAATACTTTAGTAGCTACCAATTATAAAATATTGTGTTAAACATAGATATAAAAATATTATAGCACACACACGTCTTTATAGAGCAAACAAAATCATAACATGCGTTTTTTTATATTTTTACTTAAACATATTTAGATATAAATTTTGTAACATTACGTAGAACCCTAAATACCTAATAATAAAGACAATAATGGAAAATATATTAAGAAATATAAAATTTCCGCGAATTAAGTTATAAACCGAGGTAGCAGATATACTGCAAATGGCTGGGATTTATCCTGTAATACACAAGTAAAGGTCAATTTGATAAATAATATCTACTGTGTAGGTCAAGGAGAAGTCAAGAATAAGTAATAAAATTACAATTACAAGTATTGGTACAAATCCAATAATACAGTATATTAGGTAAAATACATTTACCAATATATTATTTCAAAATAGATCACACAAAAAATGTACAGTCAACCACATAAATCGTAGCGTTAGGAATAGTAGACTACAAATGATAAAAAGAAAATTGAATAATGTGTACCTGGTCTATACTTAAATCTGAACAGTTATAAAAATAAATTAAAAATTTTCAACGCTGTCTTTTATGTAAAGAAGTAACTATTGTGATTGATTATCTGTATCTGTCAATACCTATATTCATTTTAGAAGGAAGTAAGATTACATATAAAAAGTACTTGACCAATTTAAAATATATGTACTTTCTCCTATAATGCCTAATCAGCGAGAAACAGTTTTTTATTCACGCGGGAAGCACCACCTGATACCCACCTGATACCAGGTGGCGCATCCCGCACGAAACAAAATATAATAAGAATAAATAAACAGTTCAGAATATTTTGATAACATCAAAGGTTAGTTAAGATAAAATTTAAACGTTGCTACTAACATATTATTGACCACTATGTCGCATAACAGATATCGCTATGAATCCGACTGTACTGTACTGTAATTGGCCTCCCTTTATCTACAGGTACATTTATCTGATAAAAGGTAGAGACCTAATCTTATTGATAGTAACCAAAATCGTTTCATGCCCAATAATTATTAGTATCGGAGTATTGATAGGTGTTTCCAGTACAATTTGATTCATTTAATAAATTAGAATTTACTACCCAGAGAATACAGTTAAATTATAAACTCTAAGTATTTTTTTATTGTTACTTAAGTGAGCAATATCTCTTATACGAAAATGGCGTTCGAACTCCCCAGGTTTACAAGATGCTGCTGTTGTTTATCATTACGAACAGGATGTTTAATTATTGGTTATTTCTCTATTGTAAGTACAAAACTATTTTTAAGTTATACTATAGCAATAATTTTATAAAATATCATTTTATCTGTAGATACCTACTTATTGTAAAGACTGCTTCGTAGTCATAAAAACTTTGTTATGACTACATCCTACAAATTATTTTTAAGCAATTCTTCATTAAACGTAATTCAAGCTAAGAAAGATTTGATAATTCTATTAATAGGTTATATTTTTCTACTGTATTTACCTCAAAATTTTAACAGAGATAATCACATAGTTTATTTATATGTATGTTAACTTATCTAGTTCTTCTTGTACTCATATTTACAAGAAGACCTAGATAAGTTAACATACCAGCCTTCAAGGTTTTTCTTACATATATATAAAATTGGGAGGTGTGTCATATTTATGTGAATAAGTGACTCATTTCCTTAATATTACAACTATTCTAAATAATAATTAACTACCTAGATATATCGATGTATTGTGATGTATACTTATGTAGTCAATGAATAACCCCTGTGATGGGCGTAAAATAGAATTTTCGTGATAAATTAATACGTATTGAACAGCATCGTTTATTGACGTAGAGAAAGATTTAAGTTCGTCATAGAATTACATTCATTATCCTATGGTATTTATATAGACTCTTCTGAAAGTACAAATATATTATGTCCGTTTGCAATACGTTTTATAAAATGGTTCCCTATCAGAACAAAACCAAGACTAGTAACCTCATTGCTAGTATTGCCCTATCAGGTCCATCTCCGTGCAAACTAACTTGGTTCATTCCTGACTAACTGTTTTGATTTAATTATTATCTTATCATCTTTTGTGGTGCACCATTCCACATTCATATAGTACATAACCAACAACCATTTCTTGCAAACATAAACAAGTACTGTGATTTGCAATCATCGAATTCACAGATATAATAAAATAAATAAACATAATATATGACTATTATATCAGTCAGTCAGTATATGACTATTATATCAGATGGGGTAGTCACAGAAAAATCAACTGTAGACGTAATGGTGAACGCAACACTTGACATGCCCAGATATCGGTGGGTATATTGGAGTGGATTCATCTATTTTTATATTTCACGGATTCAGTTTTGGATTCATTCGATTCCTTCACCGAAGAGTCATTCAGAAATATAAACGTTTAGCCCATATTTGAACTCACGCCTTACTCACTCAACCGACCATTATAAAATAATCATATTTTTGTGTAATTTCAGTTAATTGCTCTCTAGGCCTGACTGGAACCTCGATCTCTCTGTACAAAGTAATTGTATACGTGGTTAATGATAATGGAGTACATCCCAATCAGCCCCCGGGTGCAGTGAAGAAGTCCGCTTTAGGACTTTACATAGTACATGCCTATTATCTCATAGTATTTTTATATCTGCTTATTATTAGCTCAATATTGGTTATTGGAGTACATTCGGTAAGTCAACTTTAAGTTATTTTGAATTATAATAAGTATTATTTTGAATCGACTACAGGAAGAGGTTCTAAATTCAAGTGTATTTTTATGTATATATTATACCTACCTACATAATACCGATATATTCACCAAACGGGAGGAATTTCGATGACTTTCTATGCATTGGTAAGGAATAACACTAAACATTGGAGTAAACACTGTTGTGTTTACTCCAATGTTTAGTGTTATTCCTTACCAATGTTGTCAACGGAGGCAGTCATTTATTTATGAAAAATAAATATGTGATTGAGAAGTGACAGTGAACCGTTGGTTTAAAGTTTTGGAGTCGTCTGCGTCTGCAGCTACCTCACCTCCTCAGTCTCGTTTATTACAGCCCCAAGCAGCTTGCGTTGTAAAATGTGTTACAATTGCAGGTTGACATAAAGTAGTCAAATTACGGGATAAGAGAAATGACATCTTAGTCCAGAATGGTAACGCATGAATGGTATCGCGGTCGTCATCTGATAACATTATGTCCGTAGTACTATTCATTAAGCACTCATTTATAGGTTGCCAGTTACCATGAAATGGGCCGTTAGCTTGTTTGGCATACCATTTACATTAAAAACATGTGTGACTCGTCGACCAATTTATATATTTTGCCGTAGATAAGTAGGCGTATTTATTATTGATAATGAATGAGGAAAAAGATATGGCGAGGCGTTCAAGTAAATAAGAACTAAGGCGCTACTTATTAAAAAAAATAAGCAGGTTGAAAGACAAAATGTAAACAAATATTTATAAGTAAATATAAACTGGTAAGCAGGGAATCAGTGCATTTGAAATTAATAAAAATATGTTTTTTACAGACAAAGCCACATTATTTGAGACATTACTTCAGATCTGGAATGCTTTGGCTATTTATTGGTTTGGTATTGGTAATATTATCCTGTATGTTTGTTGGCATTCTTGGCACGTTACCTTTATTCAAATGGTGTTGTAAGTATTTAATTTATTTATAATACCTACTTTTAATTTTAACCCTTTTCGTTTTGGTCCTCGTAATACAAATTATATTTTCAATAATCTTCATGTCGAATGTCATTAAAATCATCTGTGGCATTTGGTAAAAAAAAGTAACAGACAGACACACTTCCGCATTATCTAACTAGCACTCTTGACCGTTTTACCGATTTTTATGAAAATTTGTGTGAGATTTGTCTGAGAATCGGCCAATATCTATTTTTATACCCCTCAATGTTAAGGGTGCCCCACGCCTAATTAGTTTTTTTACTTTTGTCATTTTATTTTATTTTATTATGATTTTCTATGATCTTTCTAAATTATTTAAGTAACTCGAATAAAAATATACCTAGATAAAACATACAGTTGCACCATTAGGTACTAAAATTTAATATTTTGTATTTCAGTTATACATTTCGTCAGCTTAATTGTAGTCCGAAGCACGTACTTGGATATGGAAGAAAGAAATATGGAGGCCTCATACAAAATGGCTAGCATTTATAATCCTCATTTATCACGACCATTGATGGCATAACATAATAAACATATTATTATAATAAACGTACCTTATATTATTTATAATTAATTTAAGTTCTATTTTTATTGTATGACCCCCTTAGTCTTGATCCCATTTCGGTAAATGCAAAGTTTGCAAGCTTCATTTCAAATGAGGCCAACAACTTTTAATTTGCATATTCCTAAGTAGAGAAATACTACAAATATTACTCACATAAAGTTCTAATAAATAAAGATACATACATTTGCATATTATTTAGATAATATTGTGATTTTACATAAAATTTAAAATATTATGGAAGAAATTAAAAGTAAACTCATGAAAAGTTTTAATATGAAAGATATTGGTAAATTACATATTGCTTGGGAATACCTGTGGTCCTGCGTTTAGATACAACACTATCCCTCTACAACTGGTAACATACTTGTTAATTTTGTCTCCGTGATTAAAAAACAGACTATAGTCACGCGTTAAATAATGCAACAAGAAATTCCCACATTCCCCTGCATATGTTTGATCCCGCGCTTGGGAGCGAACCTTTCGCGTTAGTTTGACATTTAATTTGTTATCGGTGTTAGTATCACCTGAGAGTCATTCAGAAATGTAAATTGATACATAAACCTTTGATTGAGGCGAGATTCGAACTCACGACCAAAGGTTACGACGAGTAAGTCACGAAGTCACTACTATCTCTACTGCTAATTTAAAGTGAAATTAAACAAAATCAATATATTTTTTTTATATATATATATATATATATATATATATATATATATAGCTATTGATTTTATTTAGGTTATAATAATACTAGAAACTTTATACAGATGTTAATACTTTATGTTCATAACTCAAAAGTCTGAAACCTATAAATCATTTTTAAAGAAAGTAGTGCGTAATTGAATATGTAATATTGAATATTATATATTCTACTCCATGGAGTTAAACTTAAGGAAGGTATACTGGCAATTTATAAATACGCATTTCTTTATCAATATACTTCTAAATAAAGATTTTTTATTTTTTTAGTAACAAATTTTGTAAATTGCTAAAAATTTGTTCATTTTACTAAAATAATGCGAAAGGGACAGAGTGCTTTAATATAAAGTTTTACATTTGAAGTCGATATGTACATTCATACATTTCATAAAAATAAACTTTATTGCTTCGAAATAAGGTCTAAATTAATTTTCACAACATCTTGTTCTGGTAGTGAGTCATTAATCTGATTTCGTTTGTCATTTTGTGACAGCACAGAGTACAGAGACTTTTTAAATTTGAATTTGATTCCATGTCATTTCATTGTATCGTATGCTGTATTTAAATTCGTAAATGTTTCTTTGTAGATGCAAATAATTGTGATAAAAATATTACAGATTCTAATATAAAATGAATGATATTTCACGTGTTTGAAATTTAACTGGATATAATACTGCCATTATGTCTAATAAATACCATCAAAGTACCACTCTCGCACAGAATCAGGTTTGTTACACATTGTGATCGCGCTGATATATTTTAAATTTACTACAATAAATGTATTGTAATGTTTTTAGTTGGATATTGACTTTTATTATAAAGTTGTTTTTATTAACAGTTGATACAATGGCTCAACGAAGCAGGAATGGCGGAGGGCAACAAGAAGGCAGATTTACTAAGAAAATCCATAGAAATCCTTTTACATCAAACGCCTCAGATGATCCCTGTATATATGGACAATATATTAAGTTGTGTTAGTGATAAATCTACCGACGTTAAAAAAATTGTTGTGGGTTTCATTGAAGAGTTGAGGTGAGATAATTTTGAAGATCTATGCAATTTATAGGTTATTTAATTAAATAAAATAATCATATAAAAATAACCTTTGTAATTTTATGGATTATAATGAAATGAAGCTTCCTCCTTATACTAATGGTATATGAAACCAGCCAGCATATACAATTAGCATAGACAGAAATAACACTAGAAGATATAAGATAAGATGATATCAGATCACTTAGCCTACTGTAAATTAATGGCAATTTTTAGGTAGACCGTGTGGTGGTCAAGTTAAAATGATACATTATCTGCAATCTTGGAATTAGTTCCCAGTTTTAATAATCTTCATTATAATTTTTTTGTGCATTTTAGCAATTACTTAGAAATTAAAAACTTCATAGACTTTGCTTGATCTGTATTTTTGCTTTAATGATTATGACTGAAGCTCACTAGTATTGCATTTGCAAATATGATTTAATTTATCTCAAATAATTATAATAAATCTATATAATATGAAGAAGTTTAAAAGAGTTATATAGAAGTAGTATTTTAGGAAGACTGTAAAAAAGTTGACTTGTTTATTTGTAAGTTGTAGTAGTGTTTGTAGAGTACAGATTAGGCAGTGAAATTATAGGATAAGAATCTTAGTGATATCTCTTAAGAGATATGATATCTTAGTGTTCTGGAATAGTACACATGAGTAGCACATTGCAAGTGTCATATGTGTCCTTGGTGCCAACGATTCCATCAAGTGGGTCATTGATTGTTGCATTTTCAGTTAAATAAAAAATAAACCTACTTATATTGCATTGGATTCAGTCAAGTAGTATTTTCAGTATTCAAAATAATTAGGAATACTACTAAAACATTGTAAATTATAGTACACTATTGTTAATTGGTTATAAATAGTGATATACGTTAATCATTAATCAACAAGAAGTTGGTTTGCTGACAAACAACTTAATTTCATTATGGCCATGTTTTCTTTGTTTGTTTAATTTATATGTGGTTGAAATTCCCACTTTGAAAGGTATACCAGCGAAATCTCTCTACCATCTTCTAAAAGATCTTGGTCTGTCTAGCACTGCAGTATGTTCTATATTACAATACATATCTGAATACTCGCAGGCTACTACCAGACTTGACTTGGCAGAAACATGGATGGTGAAGGTTCATGTTAACATATGCCGACTAAGGGGCTTCTTAAACCTATACCTGGATCACTGCTCTGTTTCCCCTCTGTGCCACATGATAATGAATGCTAAGAAATTTGTCTCCATTATTTGTGATTTTAGTAAAAAACATCCAGATCACTTACCCAAGGTGGTCAGTCAGCTTCGGCTTCTCCTCTTAGACAATGTGATTGCCGTACAGAAGAGAGCCATACAGGCTGCCAGTATTGTGTATAGAAATACATTAACATGGATTTGTATGAGTGATGCTGAGTCAACTGAGTTACAGTTTGTTTGGGAACATGTTACACAGTTGAAGGTTAGTTTTCAATCATAATACTACTAGTTGTGCCCTCAACTTTATGTTTGTACATTAGTAGACTTCAAAAATGAAATAACTTTTTACACCATGTATTATTTCATTAATAATAAAATAGGTGGCATATGAATAAAATCTTACCAAAAATAATTATTGTACCACTTTTTTTATTTTTTGCGAATATATATAGTATATAACAACATATCCTATGAAAATTTTATTTTACTACAGTCATTTTTATGTAAATGTGTTTTGCTTTGTCATGATCATAAGAACATAATTTTGTTAAATCTAAAAAGTATACCTTAACACTAATTACAAAAAGTATAGTTAACTATCAACATCATTAAGAATGGAACACTTAACATGTTCATATTATTAATATTCTTAAATTTACTTAGTTTAATTTCAAATACTTAAATATAGCCAGTAATCTAATTCTTCCTTCAACAGCTGTTGGTTTTAAACATGATAGACAGTGACAATGAAGGTATTCGTACAAATTCAATTAAGTTTTTGGAGGAGGTGGTATTACTTCAGAGCTCAAGTGAAGGTACAGACAATGAATTGAGTTTAGACAGCCTACCAAAGCATCTGCCATTCATAAACAGACAAGCTCTTGAAGAGGAATCAGAGTGAGTATCTTTATTGCTATTCCATGTAATTACGTTTTTTTTTCTAATATATAAGTTCCAAACAATATAATATGATACTGTAGGTAATACATGTACTTGTATTAAAACTTTAGATGTTAAAAATGTGAATATTCATTACATTTAATATTTTCAGGCACATATTCAAGTTGTTAGTTAAATTTCATAATTCACAACACATTTCTAGTGTGAACTTGATGGCTTGTATGACAACTCTATGCCTACTTGCAAAATTACGACCCAAATACTTGGCCCGAGTCATACAAGCACTGGGCGACCTACATACTACGTTACCACCGACATTGTCACAATCCCAAGTCAATTCAGTAAGAAAACATTTGAAGATGTTGTTGATAAACCTAATAAAGCATCCATCATCTAACGAAATGTTGCCGCAACTTACTCAACTGCTCATCGATATAGGCATGACAACTCAGGAAATAAACAAGGCCGTACCTAAAGAAAAAAGGAATAAACGGTTGGGTGAAATTAAGAATGGAGATACTCCTTCAAAAAGAATTAGAATAGACTCTCCTCAAAGTAATAGTCAAGAAAGTGACAGTAACAGTAACAGTCGGAGTGATTTTAATCTTTTTGAAGAAGACAGCAATCAGTCTATGCTGAAATCTTCAGTTACAGAAGACACACTTTTTGAAGGTTTGAACAATGTTGATAATGTCGTCAACCTTGTAACGAATACATTATTAAATACACTTCCCAATGAAATGCCCAATTATTTTCTTAATGCTTATAAACCCATACCTAACTCGGGGAGCAAAGCACAAAAGAGGAATTTAGCAAAAATGTTGTTGTCCCTAATTAAAGATGAACCAGTTGTTCCACCGGTGGATGAGCGACCATCTCTGTCAGATATTGCTGCTAAAATTCCTTTACTTAGAGATGATGATGAGAAAGTGACTCTAAAAAATGCTGTTGCTAAGTTACAAGAGTCCACAAAAATAGAAAGAAAAGTTGAAAGTGCGGTTTCTAAACTAATGGAAGAGACACGTCAAGAACAGTTAAAAGAAGAGGAGAGAAGAGCTAAAGAAAAAGAAAAGATTGTACCCCCACCTACACCTACAGTTCCTAAATTAAAACAAAAAGTCAAACTGTTGAAAT